TGGACTTGTAGATTTATAGCTTTTACCAAGTTTGAAAACTCATTTCTTTAACCCTGTGCCCTTTTCTGGGGAACTCCAATTATGTCTGTATTTCACCATTTAAAATATGGCCACTTAAAATTGTGATGTTCTTCCATTTAAAAAATTATCTTTTCTATGTTTAATTTGAGGTAGTTTTATTGCTTTGTCTTTAATTTAACTTTTTTTCTGTAATATTTAATTATATCATTAGTTCCATGTAGTTTGTATTTCTTATATATTGTAATAATCCCTTTCTAGAAATTAGATTTGCATATTTTAAAATGACTGCCCTGGCTGGTGTAGCTCAGTGGATTGAGCGCGGGCCTGCGAACCAGACATTCACGGTTCGATTCCCAGTCAGGGCACATGCCTGGGTTGCAGGCTGGTTCCCTGTAGGCCAGTTCCAAGCAGGGGACGCACAAAAGGCAACCATACATTGATATTTCTCTCCCTCTCTCCTTCCTTTCCCCTCTAAAGATAAATAAATAAAATCTTTAAAAAATATTAAAAAAAATGTCTTCTATGTATTTACTTAACTTGTTGTACACATGGAATATAGTCATAATGCCCCTATTTTAATGTTCTTGTTTTCCAGTTTTTCTTTTTTAATTTTATTGATCATGCTATTACAGTTCTCCCATTTTTATTTTTCTCCCTTTATCCCACTCCACCTGGTACCCTCATTCTCTCCAACATTCCTCATCTTTTAGTTCATGTCCATGGGTCGTACAGGTAGTCCTTTGGCTTCCGTATTTCCTATACTATTCTTAACCACCCCGTCTATTTTGTACCTACCATAATGTGCTTATTCCCTGTAAATTTCTCCCATTCTCACCTTCCCCCTCTGATACCCATGTGATCTCCATTTCTGTGATTCTGTTCCTGTTTAGTAGTTTGCTTACTTTTTTTAAAGATTCAATTGTTGATAGTTGTGAGTTTATTGTCATTTTACTGTTCACAGTTTGTTAGATAAGTTCCTTTAACATTACATATAATAAGGGTTTGGCGATGAACTCCTTTAACTTCATCTTGTTTGGGAAGCACTTTACCTACCCTTCCATTCTAAATGATAGCTTTGCTGGATAGAGTAATCTTGGATGTAGGTCCAAGGGCCAAGACTGGGCCTACCTACATCCAAGATTACTCTATCATGACTTTCATGACTTTGAATAATTATTTCCAGCCCCTTCTTGCCTGTAAGGTTTCTTTTGAGAAATCAGATTTGTAGGTAACTATCTTATTTTCTTTTGCTGCTTTTAAAATTCTCTTCTTATCTTTAACCTTGGGTAATTTAATCATGTGTTTTGGTGTGCTCCTGTTTGGGTCCAACTTGTTTGGGACTCTCTGAGTTTCCTGGGCTTGTATGTCTATCTCCTTCAGCAAATTAGAGTTTTTTTTCATTATTTTTTGAAATAAGTTTTCAATTTCTTGGTCTTCCTCTTCTCCTCCTGGCACCCACATGATTCAGATGTTGCAATGCTTAAAGTTGTCTAGAAGTTCCTAGGCCTCTCCTCATTTTTCTGAATTCTCATTTATTCATTCTATTCTATTTAAATATTTCTTCCTTTTGTTCCAAATAGTTGATTTGAGTCCTGTTTTTCTTCTCTTCATTGTTGATTCCCTATATTTTTTCTTTGTTTCACTTTGTATAGAATTCACTTCATCCTTTATTTTGCACCTGTACTCAATCATTTCTGTGAGTATCCTGAATATGAGTGTTTTGAATTCTGCATCTGATAGGTTGGCTATCTCCTCATTGCTTAGTTCCTTTTCTATAGTTTTGATCTTTTCTTTCATTTGGACCATATTTCTTTGTCTTGGCACACCTGTTATGTTGTAAGGGGCAGAGCCTTAGGTATTCGTCAGGGCAGGCAATCCATGATTCTGCATTGTGGCCCTGCATGTGGGGAAGGGGTTAGAGTGGTACAATGGTGCTTGCTCAGTTCTTGCCCCACTTTCAGTCACTTCCCCTGCTTCCCACCAGCAAACTGCCCCTTCTAGGTGCTTCCCTGATGCTGATTCCCAGGTGGGCGGGTTTGTGTATGTTCTAGGACCCTGTAGACCCTTCCAACAGACTCTCCTGTGAAACTGGCAGTTTCTCCTGCCACTGCTACCCCTGCATATTTTTACAGCCAAAGGTTTTGAGCCTTTACTTTCTCAAGCTAGAATAATGGGTTGTGCTGGTCTGTCTCATCCTCCAGTTGTTCCTCCTGGATTATCTGCAAGTGAATGTGGGACCACTTGGTCCTTGCCGCCACCTTGCTATGTGTCCTCTCTGACCTGGTTGCCTGTGTCTACTTCTCCTACCAGTCTGGATGAACATTTCTTTTTTAACTCAGTTGTTGGGACTCCCATAGAAGCTCAATTTTCTGGCAGTTCTGGCTGTTTTTGTTTTTGAATTGGCTGATATCCTAACTTTGGTTGTGCGAGGAAGCAAAGTGTGTCTACCTACTCCTCCATCTTGGCCCTCCCATTTTCTAATTTTAACATTATGTTAGTACAGGGTTGGTCTTTGCTGGATGACTTATCTCCTCATTGTGGATCCTATTTTCTTGCTTCTTTCCTTGGCTGATTACCTCTTTATTGGATGCCAGACATGGTGCATTTCATCTTGTTGGGTGCTGGATGACTTTGCATTGCTATAAATATTCTTGAGCTTTGTTCTGGGGCATAGTTAAGTTACCTGAGACAGTTTGATCTTTTTGGGTCTAGCTTTTAAAATTTGTTAGGTGGAACTGAAGCAGTTTTTATTCTAAGGCTAATTATTCTCACCAGTAAGGCAAGGCTCTGTTGTGTACTCTACAAAATGCATTGTGGTTCTTAAGTTTTCCAGTGTGGTTACTTCTAGCCTGTGTGTATTTCCAGCCTGTATGAATGCCAAGCACTATAACCTCTAATCCTTTCAGGTGGTGCTTCCTTCAGTCTCATGCAGTTTTCTCTCTCTCTCTCTCTCTCTCTCTCACACACACACACACATACACACACACTGATTAATACTCAGCTGTGTACTAAAAGAGAGCTCTGCACACCTGGAGTTTTCCCTCTGTGTAGCTCTCATATCTTTGGTACTCTGTCCTAGGGATTTTATCTGTCTTGCTCTGCTAGGACTCTCAGCTCCACCTCCACAACTCATGGGAATCAGAGGGGCTGGGAACCTCTCTTTGTGCTATGTCCTAGAAACTCTGAAGGTTATATGCAGGTGCAATTTTAGGGCTCATCTAGGTTTCAGTCTCTTGGGGATTATTATCCATCATTAATTGATGTGTACTGTTTTATAAATTATTTTGAATATTTTGTTCACTTTTTTGTTGCTTTAGGCAGAGAAAAGAGAATCAATCAATCTGGCCACTGTTACTCCATTTTTAACTGGAACTCTTCCTTTAATTTTAATTATATGGTTCTGAAACTGTAAAACTATGATCCTATTACTAAACTTATATATAGAAGTTGTTTTGCTTTCTCTAATAACTTTAGAATTGAAAGTTTATAGCCCCGTCTGTAAACAACTTAAATACTTTAAGAATAATATTTAAGCCTCAGGTTCAGATCAAATGGTTATCATGTCTCAGTAGTCTCTGAAGGACATCTCTAATATGTATCTTGAGGAAGAAAGGTGAGAGTCACCTACCCTTTAAAACTCTAATTCCTGATGACACAGGAATTTTCTGCAGTGAAAACCTAAGAAGAGCTGCTTTAATATAAACATTTATTCATCTGTAGGAAGTAGAAATGACAGTAATGGTTTTAGCATTTTCTTGTTCCTCAATATTACTATATAGATTTAATCTAAAGAGTCATGCTCATCAAAATTAAAGATTTATGTAAAAGTTGAATTTTCATGTAGGAACTTCTCAATAAGAATATAAAATCTTTCTTTAGCACCTACTATATAACAAGTACTTAACTAAGTGCTTTAAATACTTTTCCTCAAGCATACATTATAACAAAATTGTAAAGTATGATCTATTACTAAACTCATTATACAAATGAGAAATCTGAGGTTCAGAGATTCAAACCCAGGTTGAAAGTAAGATTAGATTCTTTTATTCAAAAAGTACTTAATGTGTACTAGGCATGTTTCTAGGTGCTGGGAACACAGCATTGAGAAAAAAATCCCTAACTCAAGAATTTACACTGTAACATATGTTCTCCTTAAAAATAACATACTTAATTTGTAAGTTTTTATGGTTTTTATTTTTATTTATTAATTTTTAGATTTTATTGATTGATTTTAGATAGAGGGAAGGGAGGGAGAAAGGTAGAGAAACATCATTATGTGTGGTTGCCTCTAAAGCGCCCCCTACTGGGGACCTAACCCAGGCATGTACCTAGATTGGGAATGGAACTGGTGAGTAACCCTTTGGTTCGCAGGCCAGTGCTCAATCCACTGAGCTACATCAGCCAGGGCTTAATTTAAAAATTTTCTGTACCTGGTGTTATATCAAAAAAGTAAAACGTAAAACATCATGAATTTTTGCCACTAAAAAATTTCTAATTTTAAAAGTAGAGGAAACATACTATGTAAAGGGAAGTTGTTTCATTTGCTAAGTACACCTAGCTGGGATTAAATAAGTTTGTTGACTCCAAAGCCTTTGCTATTTCCACTATTCCATAATGGCTCCTTATCACGATACATTTCAGAACAACAGATAAATTAAAAAAAAAAACAATCAAAAGCCCAAACATTACAGCAATGTGCAATATATTAAAACTTCTTGATTGTACAACAGATGGTAAATGGGGAACAAAAACAGAAAATAAAAACAAAAATGGTACTGGAAAAGTTAATATTGGTTAACTAAATGGTAAAATATTTCATGAAATATATTGAGTTTTGAATAGAAATAGTATCTCACCAACTTGTACAACTAATTATATCTGCTATTTTAGAAATGTAAGAACAATGCTTTCCCTTTGTAAATATGCATGTAAAATAGTCAAGTCTCAATGTCTAAAAAAAATAACATAACTATGCATACCTCTACAGCAGGTACAATGTCTATGCCAACAGTTAGAAATTCTTCAAACTTCATAAATGGGTTAAAGCAGCTGCCAACATCAAGTAATCTGATTTTTCCTGAGGTTTGTAGCAACCTAAAAACAGATTATTGTGTCTTAACACAAGCAAAATAAAAATAAAGTGTAAGAAAATGCAAACATTTGAGAAATTAGATCATGTGGATTATTGGCTCTTTTTTAGTTTTTGGATTCCTTTAACACATTTAAAAATTACTGAGGGCCTTAAAGAATTTTCATTTATGGGGGTTTATCTATCTGTATTATTAGACTTAGAATCAAAATTGAATAGTTAAGAGGAGAGAAGATGGCAGTGAAGTAGTGGGAGCTGAGCCCACTTGCTTGTGCACCCAACTGGGACACTCAACTGATGTTCCAAACGACAAAGTGAACAGACAACAGAATCTTAGCTGACAGAAAGTTTGGAAGCCAAAGTGTGCAGAGGATGCTTCAAAATGGGTGGTAAGGTGGTTTTATAGGTGGGCAGGCAAAGTCCCTGAGCCTGGCACCAGAAACTGTGACTGCCACGGGGGCAACATCAGAGGAGAGATAGGTAAGTGATAGAAGGGAGTCTAGTGGCTCCCTCCCCTCCCAGGGTGGGCAAATCACAGACATCAGCCAGGAGAGACTTGAACAAATAAAGTAGCCACAGGGGGAAACAAAGGCACATAGGCACACACACGGCTGGCAGTGCACCAAAGCTAGAGTATGGGAGCGGTTACTGGCCTAGTAATAAAGTGCCAGAGAGTTGTAGGGGGGTGAGTCCTGTTGGCACCAGGAGCTGGGAGAAGAGGTGAACTGTGACTGGCCATGAGACTGAGACAAACTCTGGACTTGTCAGAGAGTCGGAGTGGGTGGAATGTCAGGTTGTGGTTAGGAGCAGCAGCAGCACCCAAATAGACTTTTTCAAAATTGGAACTGAGACGCACTGGGCAGGGATCTTGTGTGAGCAGCAGCCCAGACAATAGAGGAAAAGATTGTGGGCATGATTTGCTCCCAACTCCGGGAGTAATCAAAAGGGTACAAAACGAGGAGGTTTATTGGTGCCAGCCCAGCTCAATTGTGTAGAGTGGAAAATGCCACCACACAGTGCTCTGAGGGCATGGGCTGGAAACTGGGCACCTGTGATTAATATAGCCCAAACTGAGGCCTGTTCCTTGCCAAACCACCAGAAAGGGAAAACAAGAGCCCAATCCCCACTGCCAGGAGTAGCCTGGAAGATATGCAAAACTAGCTAGACTAGGTTAACAACCAGAAGAAGCCTCCAACCGCCCTCCACCCCATCCCACCCCAGGACTAAATCAGCAGGAACTGGATCCCTGGGAAAACCAAAGACAGATCCAGAAAGAAGTCAGAAGGCAAACAACAGCCAAGACAAATTTCACCTTGCTCGTCATCAGACCTTAAATTAAAAAAAAATTTTTCTTTTTGTTTCCTTAGGTTTTTTGTTTCTTTTTTTTTCACTTTCATATTGCATTTTAATTTTTCTCCTTTCATTTCAGTAGTATTCCAAATAACTCACTACTCTTGGCCTTTTATTTATTCTTTATATTCAGACTGTATATGTATTTTTATAATATTACTATTATTCCAAATATCACACAGTACCATTCCCTGGTCTTAATCCATTTCATCATCTTTCTGAGCTTTATTACTGTGTAAACTTTATTTTCTCTCACACTATGCCATGTTTCTATCCCTAACTCTATTTCTCCTCCATCCAACTCCTCACATCAAGTACTCTTCATTTTAAGTCAGCTCACATTCTTTTCCCCCACTTATAAGAGTCTTATTTCTTTTTCACCTTTTATACACAGTGGCTAGTTGGGCAAAAATACCTACAGTTATTGCTCTACTTCTTCGTGAGAACTCCTATTTTTTCACTATTTGTTTGTACTTTAAACCCTGTAGGATACTCTCCAACTGTTTTAGTCCATTTTTCCTTCCCCCTGCTCTTGATCAGTTGAGTGAGGAATTTTATTTCATTTTCTCCCCCTTTCTCAATCTGGACTTTATGCCTTACTTTTATTAGTTTGCTTTCTCGATCCTCTCAAAACCATTTATTTTTCATGGTAGAAATGTCATATACACTTTTCTATAATATTCTACTCCTGTTCCACCTTTATTAAACCTCATTCGGCTGCTGTTGTTGTTGATACTTCTGTGGTTTTTCTTCAATTTTGCTCCCATTGGTCCAATACATTTTCAATTTTTCTTCAAACCTCACAGTATATGCTTCCTTTTTCTTACCCCTTTGTTCCCATCGCCTCTTTGTGTGTTACTTATATTTTATATTGTGTTCCCTCTGTACTCTTATCAATTCTCCCTCTTACCACTCAATAACATTTTTCCCTCTTTTTGTCATCTAATATACCCTTTGTCATATCTTATAACATCTGTAATCTCTTTTCACCTTTATTAATCTTTGCTCAATTGCAGCTGAGATTCCTGATGTGGTAGGGGCTTCCTTTTTGGTGGTATAGGTTTGGTTGTCTGATAATACTACTTTGTTAACAAACACCTGTACAACAGCATACAAGAAAGGTGGGAGGTGTGACTACCAGTAAGCCTGTTGGAGGGGAGAAGCAACTAACAAAGAAGCCACCAAGTAAAGACCACGTACAACAAGACAGCTAACATAAATGGAAGAAGGTGCAACTCTAGAGACTCCAGACATGGAGATCTAAGAGACTGCATTACTGAGTACCACAGAACTCCTACCACAGAAGCCCACCCCAAGAAGAAAGCTGGCAAAAAGCAGGGGATCCTGAGATGCAGAAACATTCAAAAACAGTTACCTAAAATGGGGAGACAAGGAACCTCCAATCAAGAGGAATGGAAGAATCCCCAGTAAAAAAGCTAAATGAAATGGAGGCAAAGTATCAGACATAGAGTTAAAAAATGGTTATGAATATGCTCAAGTAACTTAGTGACAACTACAAGGTACTGAGCGGGAACCACAACAGCATGAAAAAGGAAAGAGAAACCATAAACAAGAACCAGGAAGAAAAGAAGAATATGTGAAATAAAAAACACTAGGGAGGAAGGAAGATGGCAGAGGAGTGAATGGAAGTCACACTTCCTCCCAGGCCCAATCTGGAATTACAACTCAACTGTGGAGAAACAACCCGGAACAAACAACTGAGCAAGAGTCAGAAAGAAGTATTTAAGTTTGGACATATAGAATTAGCTTCAGCACAACCTGTCTGGTAAGGAGTGTGTTGGAGACTATATAGGACTGGCTGGGTGCCCACAGGTGGCAGTGCCAGCAAGATAATTAAGCTGCCTTTGGATCCCCTGAAGATGATTTGGGGTCTAAACCCTAAGCTAGGATTCCCAGTCTAGAACACCAGAACCCCAAAAGTACATAGATAACCAGCAGAAAAAGTAGCAGGGTTGCTCTCTAACAGAGACAGACAGTTGGAGACACAAGGGCCATTTAAAGGGCTAACACATAAATTTTCATTTGTAGCCAGTTACCTGGGGCTCAGGCAAAGGCAGGGACACAGTGAGCTGGAGACATGAGAGTTTTTGGACTGGAAGCCTTGGGGAAAGAACTAAGAAAGTATCTGCAGGGATCCCTGTGCTGAGTCAACCCCCAGTCAGCAGCAACCTTTGTGCTCAGGCAGACCACTCCCCTCCAAGTGACAGTATCCTGAGGGGAAACAATAGCCCCAACCACAGGAAAGTGTATGCTTTGGCCCTTTAGTGCTTAAGCCTGACTGCTGAGTCCTAGTGACCAGATAAACAACATAAGAAGACAGCCAGACAGTAGATCACTGGCAAAGGTGGGGCAGAGTGCACTACAGAGACTTGAGAGACTGGGGATAGAGGCTTTGGGGTGAGAATTGGGAAAGTAGCTGAGCCAACCCCCATAAGCAGGAATCACCCTGCTCAGGTAGACTACTCCCCTGTAAGCAGCAGCTACCTGAGGGGAAACAATAGCTCCCACCCCAGGAGGGATTTGATTCCACCCTTTAGTGCTTAAACCTGACTGCTGATCCCAGAGGGACCATATTAACAAAGGAAGGAGACAGCCAGTGATAGCAGATCACTGGAAGTATCAAACAGGCAGCCTAAGTTCAGATGAGATCAATGTCTGACATCACCAGAAGCAGATTCAGAAAGAAAAGAACAGTGGTAAATACAAGAGGCCACCAATATGAAAGCCACTGTGGTCTTCTTCATGATTTGTGATATTTTCTTTCCTGCACAGCTTTATAACATTCATTTTTTTGTCCAGCGAATTTGTATATAATAAGACACTAGATTTGATACCATCATGTATTTCAATTTACATATTTGACCCTCCCTTAGCATATCTTACCTTCCTCTTCTCTTGTAAAAGTCCCATTTCAAATTTGGCTATCTCTCTAGCTACAGATTGTTTCCACTCCACACTCTTAACTATTTTTCCCCATCCAGGAACTCAAAATAAATTCTCTTGTAGAGGGTGATTTCACATTCTTTTGCCCAGCTATTAAAGTACCCAAGTTTTCTCTACACCTATAACAAACTTTGCTAGTTAGTTGTGGGTAGGGTAGTTGTTTTTTCAAGGTTACTGCTAGCTTCACTAATTCTGTATTTCAAACAACAAATTTTACTGGATCTTTCTTCTACTGTTTTCTTTTTTTGTTTTGACTCGAATTTTAATTATGCCATCTTAGCCTTTTTTTTCCTCTTTCTTTTTGATCTATCTTCAATTTCTTTTTTATCTGGCCCTTTTATTTTTGTTTTTTTAAAATTATTTTACTGTTGTTCAATTACAGTTGTGTACATTTACCTACTTTTACCCCATTTATGCTCTGCCCCCTTTATCAAACATTAATTGACCACAGAGATGAGGGTTTTTTTCTGTGCTCTTTGTTCTGTTCATTGGTCTGTGTCTGTTCTTATGCCAACACCAGGATGTTTTGATTATAGTGGGCTTGTAATACAGGTCGATATCAGGTATTGTAATCTCTCCTACTTTGTACTTCTTTCTCACAATTGCTGCAGTTATTCAGAGTCATTTATGGTTCCATATAAATTTTTGAAGTGTTTGTTTTGTATCTGTGAAATATGTCATCGGTACTTTC